CCTTGAGAGTGTGTGTGGTGCTTGGTGGGTTGGTGTGTTCGTGTCCCTCAGAGAACCTCTCCTATTTATACCTTTTAGCCTGTTGTTCCTTAGCCAATAGCAAACTGGCTCTTCTATTCTACTATAATTACTAAGCTACTTCTACTTTTATTAATAAGCATTTTGTCTGTATTAGTCAGCCTTCTGTCTGTTTTACTAATGTATTGGTAAGCTATTACTAATGTTTGTTAGAGTATTACTATATTTTGGTAATTCATAGCTGTTGAGCATAGACCTTTACTAAGCATAGTTTCTAGATTACTAAGAAGCTGAGTCATATTATTAGTCATTGATTCACTTTTAGTAAGCTTAAGTGTCTATGCTTACTTTGCAGCTCTGAGTAAGCGGTTTCTTTTTGATTTGAATACCTATTATTTCTTTAGTTTTCCTATACTTATAATTATGGTGCATGACACCGCGTTGACCTGGTTGGACTGTTCTGTGAGCGCGTTGAGTTGTGGGCCGAGCACGGAGCTGTCAGAAAGCTGCGCATTGAACAGCTTCTGGAAGGCGACGAATGCGCCTACCACTCCGGGTTTCTCGTAACCGGCTTTAATCGCTGTCCATGCGTCCAGGGCCAAGAACTTGTCATCAACTAGATGAAGAAGGTTCTGTGCGACATAGAGCTGAATGATTCCCAGCGCCTTGTCATTTTTCTCATCCCATGCAGCTTGAGCCGCAATTTCCGTAGCCGTGGGTGTACCTGTCGCAGCTATTGGTCTGGCAAGACCAGGGACAGGAACAGTCACTGTGGAGCTGTATCTCTGGATCAAGTACCAGACGCCCTGGTAACGCAGGAAGGCTCAGATCGCGTCAGACCACTTTTTATAGTTGGTGCCGTCAAATTGTGGGATGGTTGAGGTAGCGAGCTTGGTAGGGTCAGAAGAGGATGACATTGTTATCGTGTACAAAGAGAAGGCAAGTATAAGCGTAGAGTGTTTCACGTTCCTTTGGCATTAATCCGACTTTGTAGAAGAATTCACTGAGATCGAGCTCATATGATTTGGCTCGTGTCGCTCGAAGTAATTCCCAATCGTCTTCCAAGAATTCAAAGTTGTAGACTTGATTGATCGGTCTATAGTATAGATCTACCTCGATATTTTCCTGTTTGAGATAACAGGCATACGATTCTGAATATGTATCAGAAGTTGTAGGAAAGAAGATGTTGATGATGTCTTCGTCAGGGTTAACTAACTCCGCTGATGCGTCGTATGTTGGTGGACCGTGTGTATCGTCTACGTAATTAAAGTACTGTGGGGTAAAGAACAGCTCGACGTATTGTTCGTATGCTGTCAATAATTCCCAAGGTGTATCGTCTTCTTGGATATTCAGTTGCTGTCTGAATTCCGCGACAGTTTCCTATTTTGTCTCTATGGTTTCAGGTACCGTATTTGTCTCCTGAGAGGTAATGGTTGTGTACGCTGTTGAGCGAACCACTTATCCCAGCTAAGCTGATTTAGCTGAGAGGTGGATAGAGTTGGAATTGGACGAAGGGACCAGTTAAACTACGACTCTTGTTGTCGCTTAGGATAAACACACAGTAGTCAGGTTTCCGAGTAGAACTTTCTTCTGATTGTTACAATAGCGTTGTATACAAAGTATCTACTTGTTTTCGTAAAACCTAACCGCGTCAAATTATCCGTTCACGTAAATTGCGCTGAGTGCTTGTACAATCCGGGCTTTGTTCTTGCGTAGCCCTTTGAACGAGATATCCCCTATTTCTCTGCACCCTAATTCCCACTTGCGCCACTCCTCTTATTTGACGACGTTACAGACGTCCGCTAGACAGTGCTTGATGCGCGTAAGCTGTTCGATGAGTCGGTGAAGATTGCGGACTCAGTCGGAGTTGAGGTCGTCGAGCTCGAGAGTCTCAAAGACGTCGAGGCGTTTGAGCGTGCCTTTGAACTTTGGTGTGAAGATGCGGACGAGGTCGGTGGAAGTGTGCTTGTCAAAGTCAATGAGTACCGGCTTCGGGGTAATCAGCGTATGTGTCGCCGGTGGGATTGCAGTGAGATGCTGCTTGAATGTCGGCTTAGACAAACCGGTGAGGATCCGTTTGCGTGCCTGTTGGATTTCGCGTGCAGCTAGATGCTGCTCAAAGTCGGCCTTGTCGGTCGCGTAGCGCTCGCAAAACTGTTTGCAACATAGGTGCCTACCCTCATGTGAGTTCGGAGGGAACGGGAGGGTGAGCACTGGAGTCGGCGGGTGTAGTTCTTTGCTGCGGCGTTTACCATACGGGACGGTCTCGACAGGGTCGTTGGCGTTGCTGGAGGCGGGCGCGTAGCTGGCGGAGTGCTTGTACCGCTGGAAAACGGAGTAAGGGGGACGAGCGGGCAAATCCTTTGGCACTAGATTAACGCAGGAATGAACGCGATGAGCGCTCCGTCTGCCACTAGCACGCAACAAGACTTACTCATAAACTGCATGGATAAACTTGTTTAAAACTAGGTGAAGGGGACCGAGGTTTCCTGAGGGGTCTTCTTCAGCAATGAGACTAGTAGAGTGGGGGTAGAGTGGCCGTGAGGCCAGGACTCATAACCTGTGAAAGTGCAACTGAACTCTTGCTTTATTCTGTGCTACAGGACCAGTATATATACATGTGAGTCGGAACCTCTGATACTGCTATAAGACCTATGGTACTGTGAGCGTAAGCATGTATACTAAGCATGAGTAATCAGATGTCGTATTACTACAAGATAATAGAGAGATCATGTGATGATATCCCCATTAGTCCGTACAGGGCAATGACGTAATCACCCAGTTCTGACAGCACTATCAGCACTGGGCAAAGACATGCAACTCCTGTCCAATCTATTTGCCAGTATGCATCACGGGCCCTATAACAACGTGCCAAAATGCATCGATTGGTTCAAGAAGGCACTCGCTTGGCCAGACAGAGATTTTTGCCATGAGTTCCGGTATGCGGCTTGTAATATTTTCATCTGCTTTCATGCTGAGAATGCCATATAACAGAGTTAGCCGCCAGACGTTTGACCAGCTTGTGCATCTGCTCTCGCCGCACCCTATATTTAAATCAACAGGGAGGAAGCCGCAACGTCCAGTGCAAGTCCAGTTCGCATGCTACTTGTTGCGTTTTGGCAAGCTTGGGGCAGACGCCCTTGACGTAGCTCACAAGATGGGGATCAGTTTTGGCACAGTATACCTCTACTGCGAGTGCATCATTCGTGTCTTGTGGGAGATGGGGCTTTTTGTTTGCTCATAGGGCAATGATGAGAGGCACGCTCAGTCGAAGGCAATATTCAGCGAAAACGGATTTCATGATTGTATTGGGGTGGTCAACGGCAGTCTTATTTGGCTGACTGCACAACCAAAAGAGGAAGGTGTTGTCTATATTTGCCGCAAGAAATTTGCTGCGGTGCGCTACCAACTTTGACCTCTACCAGCTAAGAGCTGACCAAAGTATTCAGGTTAATATACAAGCTGTTGTTGATGCCTTTAACAGATTCATATCCTTTGAGACGGGTTGGCCAGGCTCTGTTCCAGATGTCACAATTTGGAAGAAATCACACCTATGGATCCACCGGCATCAGTTTTTCAAGCTGGGAGAGTATTTACTAGCAGACAAGGGTATGCATTTATTGCTCCAGTTTTCACTCATTTGCTAACCTGACAATGCAGGATACCCATCCACGCCATTCTTATTGCAACCATTCACAGAGCCAAAAGTGAACGCGTTCAGACAGGGTCCAGAGAAACAATGGAGACGGCGATTCAATAAGCTTCTCTCGGGCAAGTGTATACTAGTTGAGCACACTTTTGGGATGTTGAAAGGCCGCTTCCCTGCCCTCAAAGTGCTCAGTACGCCAAACAACATAGACGACGTGTATCGGATTGTCAAATCGTTGATGGCCCTGCACAATATTTGTATCGACCTTGGTGATCACCCAGAAGACATCTATGGCTACGATCCATCAGACGATCCTGATGTGGCTAATGGCAACGCGGACATTGATGTTGACCTTTCACAGTATGGTGGAGTTACCAGAGACGAGCCTGCTGACATACCAGTGTTGAAGATGGAGGCGGCATTGCGGACAGCAGGGTATGAGATGCGGCTCCATTTATTTAATGCATTGTGTCCCGTCGAGTAACAAAGAGACTACGTTAAAATTCATCAAACTCGAAGTACTTCATCATGAAATTTTTGGCCTGATCAACGACGTCCATTGGATACAAATCCAGGTTCCGAGACGCTTTGCCTACAAGATCCTTGCACTTATTATACTTAGCAGCCCTCGTGACACACTGCTGTTCAGTCTCCTTCTGTTTTGCCCTCTGAGCATAGAGCTCATCATGTCTCGCCATACTCTTGCGCATAGCATCTGCGATTGCAGACATACCGCTAGCAGACTGAGCCGCAGCGGCAACAACCCCCTTGACTGCGCGTGACTTGTGCAGTGGGACGTTGAGTGGCCGGTATCCTGCTGCTTTCAATGATGTTTCGCGTACAAGACCGGCTGATGGCAACTGCTGATCAACATCATCATTGTCATCGTTGTTGCCTTGATCGTTGTCTTTGCAGTCACTGATGCATCCAGAGTGACGAGGCTTGGGCCGGCGGAGCTCTAAATTCTTGCCCAACCTGTAATATGTTTGAGCAGGCATCAGCGGAAAGAGGCATAGCTAAACGCACCCAACTGATAGCATATTGAACCACCCTTCGGTATCCCACTGGCGAATGATCTCAGGTGTAATTGATGGGCCAAACTCCAAGGATCGCGTTTTCGTGAGATAGTCCATCTTTGCCTGGAGCTGTTCATCCTCAGACACTTGCTTATCAATGTCACCGGCACCTCCAGTGCACGAGTGAACATCCGCAATCTTGCTGTACACCTGCTTTAGAGCCCGGAACTGTGCCTTGCATGATGTGGCACTGCGACGCCCATTGAAAGCCTCAGCCGAGGCCTAGGAAGGGGTTAGCTTCATGATTGTTGACCACATTAGCACGGTGAGTACAAACCTTCTTGAAAGCCTTGGCTGATGGCTTGCCGCTTTGAACATAAGGGTTACCGGCACCGTCGGGGGTGAAGAGCGCTGAGAGGAGTGTCGTCTTCTCACTGGCTGACTAGTGCTTGCTAGCCAGATCATCGGCACCTTGTTCATCTTCGTCCAAAAAATCATCCTCGTCGTCCTCGTCTTCGGCAAGAGCTGGTTGTTGTGCAGGGCAGCCATCAGATGCTTTGGTGGGCTGACTCTTGGAGTTTGGGATCGAAGTCTTGCTGGAGCATCCGATCGAGCTTGCGGGCTTCAGATGAGCGGCAGTACCGGCGGTTTTATTGCGCTTCACAGGCTTGTCAGAGGGTGGTGCCTGGAAGGGCGTCTTGAGTAGTGTTGCCAGAAGGTGAAGGGGCCTTAAGCATAAGGCGAGGTAAGGTCGCCTTAAGCCGATTTGTCAGCACCTTGAGACACCTCGAGGCAACTTAAGGTCACCTTATGTGGCCTTCAATCAACGCCGCATGTTCGCGCATGCCAAACCGTGACCCCATACGCTTCCTGCCGCCTTCCACCTTTGTACATTGTCCTCCTCTACCTCTTGCCCTCCTCTTGTCATCTGTGGCCCTCTGGTTGGCCTTGGACTGAATTTGAAAATTTTGGATATGTACATATGCCCTACAGTTAACAATAACATATTTTGTGCATAATGGCGTCAAAATATTCACCGAAATCAATTAACCGAATGTGCTGCTGCCCACCAAATCGACAGCACGCTTGCTGCGCTAGCCTCTTCCCTCGACGTGGGTCCGAGCCCCGATAACCCCTATCTCCCTATTGAGTACTCCCCTGGGCCCTCTGTGCAGCAAGACCACGGCCAGCCGGCTTAGTGAGACTCAGAATTAGAGCACTAGAGTGTGACTGCGAGGCTTGGAAAGGCTTCCAATGGTACCTCATCTTCTGCTGCACTATAGGGTATACCAGAGGCCTTAAGACGCGCAGAAGAGCAAGACTGACTTGAAGTAGATGCAGAAATTACATTTTATGATCCTGTCAGTCTCGAACCTGCAACGCCCGGGCGACTTCAGCTGCTTGGGATACCAATAGGTTGGCACCACCCGATTCCTTTTTTTCATCATGTGATACTCACACATAATTCGTAGGATGAAGAGGTGCCTTGGCTGAAGAGCAGGATGGTAATGACTCTG